TATATATATATATATACATACATATATATATATATATACATATATATATATATATATATATATACATATACATATATATACATATACATATACAGACTTCAAAGCGTTTTATTTCGCGACTTTCCGTTTACTAAACAGAACATCTTCTCTGTCTTGTTTGTCTGCAGGGAAGCAGCGATAAGAAATCTGACTGAAGAGAATTAAAAACATTTCCGTCGTCTCTGCCTTCAAAAACGGCTTCTGTTTTCACGCCACCTAGCTTACTTTGACGTGACCTCGCAGCCTGCGGTGTAAGCTGACAGCGATGTAAGCTGACAGGGATGCACTGTGATTGGTTCATGTGAAGAATGAAAGAAAACCCTTGATTTTTTTTTTCTTTCATCAAATTCCAATCAAATTCCAATCATCCATAACTGGTCATAAAAAAATAATTTATCGATTGGATCATTCCCACTTGCAATGCTGTATTTTTGAAAAACATGGTAATTGAACTCCAGCGACTTCCTGTCATTTGATCACAGTGGCTTTTCTCTGTTTACATTTGCTGGCACCCAAATATGTGTAAAGGTCGTACATCTTCTTCTGGGTTTTTGGTATAGTTGTTTGTATTTTTTTTGTTTTGTTTTGTGGCTTTATATGTTTCTTTATTTTTCTCTAAATGTTCATAACTCCATCAAAGCTGACTGTGCAGCATGAGCATGGAATGACTAATAACAGTTAAAGCAGAGGTCCACCATGTGGCGCTGTGGGTGTTTTTTTGTGTTTTTGGTTTTTTTTTTCCGGAAACCAAAATAAAATAATAAAATCCAAATTGTATCAATGTTTTTATATTATGCCCTAATTAAATTGTAAAAATTGGTGTTCTATCAGATTTGTATGCTTTGCGTGCTCGACACAAAATCCACTGGCGTTCACAAAAAGTGCTGTATTTGTTTCCAAACTTTTGAGAAATTCAATCTCACAAATGCTCTCTCCTACAGAGATCGATAGAGCCAAAATCAGAGGGGGAAAAAAAACCATAAGACTGAATGAATTACATCTGTATTTTATTTCTCTTAAAGACACAACACCTTCAGAGGTGAACACTTTCATTCATGTACAATGGAATACAACTTAATTGAATAAATATTCTTCATTGAATCTAATGACAAAATGTCCCTGTCTATTTAACCCTTGTGCGGTCCTTCGCATTGTAGTACGCACCGTTTGTCCTTGTCCAATGATTTTCATCTTGTCCCAGACTATGAGTATGAATGAATATGAGGAAAAGTTGGCACAAGTCATGCAGTACAGGAACATATACATATACATAGCACACGCACGCATACTCACGCATGCACAGACAAGGGTATCTTGGGTCACCTAGACCCGAAAAGGACCTTACAAGGGATAAAAACATAGAGACAGTCACTGAGTCTGGTCAACGTCAACTTGTGCAGGACTGTTTCTTGATGATTCTTTTCTACTTTTTTGTGTGTACATGTCTGAAAGTTTTCTTAGCCACCGAAAAACAAAGATAAGTTTGTAAGCAGTTTTAATGTCCGCGCCTCAAACAGGATTGATCCAGGCTTTGATTGGGAGTATAAAATGCTCTTTACTAAGAGCCATAGAGTAGTAATACGTTTTTTTCCTGACAGGAAGTTTTCATTCTCCCAAATAAAAAAAAAAAAAAAGTACGGTAAAATCTGAGAGTAACACGTCTCAATTCAAAAGCTCACCATGTGTTTTCTATGTAAGACACAAGTCATTTAAACAGTGTTCGTCCATGTCAACAGTGTGACGGGATTGAAACATCAAAGTAGGGTTACCAACAATGGCCTCCAGTCACTAGGTGGAAGCAAATCATACAGTGGGGTTTGTACAGATTAAAAAATATACATGTTATCAGGTTCGCAATAGTATTTTAATTTGTGGGGGGGGGGAGGATGGGCGTGAAAACATTTCTGCCCACAAGGGGGCATGATAGAAAATATTTGAGAACCACTGCGTTAAGATAATAGCATTGGTCCATATAGGTCCATTAAAGTGGTTCTCTTGTTTCTCATGCTAAAAACTTGACTCTTCAGCAGTTCGACCCCCCCCCC